ATATATATATATATAAACTGTCATGTCCCGTACCGTCCGGCTTTTTTTAACTATATAATGGAGCATCATTCCTCATGCTTGCATCATTATAAACTACTGGCATATTGCCACCTCAGTTCTTCGTGCGGTGGGAGAGCGTTTTGTAGATGAAGTTTCCAAATTTTCAACTGACTATCCGACAGTCTGCTGACCCATGTCCTCCTGTTGGTGAACGTGCGAATAAATCTTATTCTATCTAGTATTCCAAGCTCACTCAATTTCGGCAAAAAAGACCCTTAGACCGGAGGCTAAATGACTGGAAGGCAGAATACTGGAAAGAGGCTAAGCCAAACAGGGTCTGAACAGGAGCATGTATACCGCTCATGAACGGTAACCACCTTAGTGAAAACGTTATAAGTATATAGCTCTCGAACGCATCCTGCAAGTCTGCGTAAGACATCACTCGCAATGTTACTAGCAAACTTAATCTGTTTTGTCCATGACAATCTTGCCACATTTAAGTCTCATGAGGTGAATTCCATTCCAAAGTCATGCGAATAAAGTACATGTTTTTCTCACCATATATGAGCACTGTGTACTCACGTTCCCTTCAAGTCACTGTGGATGACATGGGAACGTATATACAAATCTAATGGAGGAGTAGACGTGACTCACTAATGCAAGTTAGGATTGGCGATGGTAACCCGTCTGGAGCAGTTAACAGTTTGCCCAGAATGGATCTGGAGGAAATATTGACAGTTTAGGCCAATCAGGAGGCTTTCACTCAAATTAGATAGCCTTACTGCATTCGCTATGGGATGAGGTTATCGCACATCGGGCTTCAATTAATAAAATGAATTGAACTGGCTGTCTTCCCATCTATCTGGATTACGCCACTTTATGAAACCGAAATTGACCAGGTTCCGTCTGTTGGGATTCTTCCAAGCTTATTATTTTCGTTGTCGAGTATATGTCATCTAGATACGAGATTGATATGTTTCGTGTTTGTACCAGTATCGACAGTAGAAATTGCACCGTATTATCTTGAGTGGACCTTATCTCAATACATGCACTGAGGTGTTTACTTACTGGGTCCTCGGAAGATTATGACGCAGAAATTAGGTAGATGAGGCATAACTACGAAGTACGTTCACCCCAGAAAAATGACACAAGACTTGATACGTCAAGGGTGAGAAATGCGATGCAAAGTATTCAGTTTTCAGCAGTACGGGCACAGTTGCGTGATAGCTTAAATGACAAAAACCAACAGGCTGAGAGTATAAACTAAATTGGGTTGTACTAGGTGAAAGTGTGTACTGGAGGGAACTCTCCGAACTCGTTTAACAAAAACATCTACAGTGGAACGGGGATATGAAATGAAAGTGTCCTGCCTTTATCAGTAATTTTTTCCAAGCAGCTACTTAGTTTTTATGACGATTTTCTGATTACTCAAGAAGAGTCAGAAACAATGGTGTCAACGGCTTCTGATCCTTTTGAAAGATGCGTGGTCCTGAAGCTCTTAATCAACCAACTAGTGAATTTCAATGAGGTCGAAAGTACTCGCGTCGCTGAATCCTGAATACCAGGCTAACAAAGAGGTAATCATGATATCTGTAGAGAGATATGATGACCAATTGGATAGGGAATGGTCACTGGTCGCCATACATAAATTAGTAGCTGGTTGACCTGGGAAGCAACCGAGAACGGAAGCGCATCTAGTTGTATTCAGAGATCTAAATAGCCGATGCTAACATAAAAGGTTGGTAGACGTTCCAAGCACCCCGTGCGGTACTGTTTAATGGCAACCGCTAAATTACTCGAACCCCTACTGTCAAAACACAGTGAAACGAAATTTTCGCCGTATACTGTCCAATCCAGCATGCTACTGATGCATCGGATGAGTAGCATCTCGTCAGGTGGTGTAAATAGCGCTATTTGAATCTGAGGGAAGGTTGATCCGGAAATAAATGGACCGTTTTACGGTGCATGTTTACTGATGCCCAAGCTTGGACAACGTTCAAGGATGCTCAAATACCACGTGAGACTGTTGGCCTTTTAAAATACCCCGTTCAAATTGGGATGTCTTACGTTTGTGTGTGACAGATGATGACCACTTCGTCTGTTTTTATCATCAGACAATACCGTGCTCGAAAAACATTTTTTCCTTCATCGATAGGGCAGCTCGTAACTGACTGCTCGAGTGGGGTGGACACAAAAGTCAACTTTTACAACGGTTAATTGTTTACTACTTAAAATATGTACAAATAGCGAGTCCGTGTGATATCCTTTATTTTAAAACAGGTGTATTAGTTGGTGTATTTGGTGATACGAACCAGATAACTGTCATGTAGCTCTCTATACCAAAAATGTAAAGAGCAACTCAAGTTCACATCTAAGTGTGGCAAAACTTACTTGAGCAGAACAGGCACGCTTCACAATCTCAGAAAAAAAAGGCACGCTGCTCTTTGTTTCCGGAGCCAATGAACAGATCAAATATCGGGGTCGCTGCCTGATCCTATGCCATCCAATTCAGCAGCTGGTAAGCATTTTTTAAACCACTGGTCACATCGCATAATCAACATCAGCATCCTCCATTCTGTTTAGCCTCCAGAATTCACAGCTGAAGGCTGCTGTAGTAAGGCTATTCAAACTCAGAACAATACTGAAGCAAACCTTGGGTTCCATTGTTCTTGATAGTCTGACTAGTGTAACCACCTGACTGTTAAAATCCAGTTTTCTTGTTATTGGTAACGTGGCACTAAAGACGTAATCCATAGTAAGTGCACTCACCGGTTTTCTTCTTTTAACGGTGTTGTCCGAATTCCTGATCGTCAGCTGACCGGTGGCCGTTGTACAGGAACACTCGTTAGGGGGGTGTTATTAGAATTCCAAACGGTTATATTGAATTTCCAGGCCTATTTCTGGACGTCTAATTTCTTTAGCTGCCTGGCTGAGTTGAACAGTGATCTGATCACTTTAGCTTTACAATGACGGGAAAATTTGATGTCTCATCAAAGGTTAATGTATCCATAGAATATAATCTCATTTTCAAACGGATTCGCCGTCTCATAAGCAGCACTATATTCTAATCTAGGAAATAACGCTACTAAAAAATATCAGACGAGAATCAGTTTCTGTCTTGCAATAAACTGCGCAATAAAAACTGGTGAAACTGCTGCAATAAAAATTTGATGAAACCGCTTCTATCGTCCTCGAATCTGCAAAACCAATGCTATCAATATCCAATCCCCTCTTTTCGTTGACTCCTCATTAGCCGGAGGGCTGGAATGGCGTCATTCGTGTGCTAATGGATAATCAGGCCGACATGGCTGTAACTTCACTGAAAATCACCCCAAACCGGTCTCAGCAAATTGACTTCAGTGTGCCATTTCTGGAAACTGGAATCGCCATAACGGTTGCTTTACGGGAAGGTGCCATCTCTCCGACTGCTTTCTTAAGTAAGTTTGCCTTCTCGCTTCATATGCCTGTGTTTTCCTATTTCCTGTTCCATACCTGCGACTAAATGACCTTTCGTCTATCTAAAATCAGAGAAAAACAACAGTTTCTAACGTGCACAAGCCAAATCACTTTGTACAGGGTAAAAGTTATTAGATTCATTCGCCAGAGAATTCCGTGAGTTATCACAAACAGCAAATCAAACGAATTCTTTTGAACAGCTGACCTGCACATTATTGAACAATTTGGTGAGCGTATATGAGAAACCTAATAGAGAGAGGATAAAAACAGCATATCGTTCAGACCATCTACAGTGTAATGGGCGCATGTCATAAGGAGTTAGCGTGGACTCGCATGATTGTTCTGAACGCCCCTGGTTCTGTCACCTTGTACGGACTGTGGTTATGGCAACTTTGGAGCACGTACATGCTTTTCAGGCAAAACACAATACTAATAAGGTTTATGAAAGGTATCGCAAAAAGCAGATTTGATCGGCTCTGTTCTTCACATCACTGTAATTTGCAGATTGAAATATTTCAACAACAGCGTAAATGCTTCTTTTGAATGCGTGGCACTCCTTGCTTCTGAAGAAGCAAACAGGCCTTTTTTGAATCTTTAGGTTGAACCGGTCTACAAGGACTGACAAAAACTACTCTTAGGTTTGCGTTACTAAACTAGCTGGTCTGTGAGTTGGGAGTTCAGTAACACCCAGTGGTGATTTGATAAGAGGTTAGTAGTCACTTATCAACAGCGGTACCAGATCACGATAAATTTTTCGTAAGTTTGTACCCTAACCTTAGATTGTCCAAGTTCGTCTATAGAGTAACAAGAGGAAATCTACTTACTGAAAGTTTCGTGGGGGAAATTGCTGACAAGATTACGTTTGTAAATACCTATTATACTGACTTTCCCATGTGACCTTATGATTTATGTTTTCTAAAAGTGTGCTACCTATGCAAATTTGAAGCAACATAAGAATCAGATACAGGCATATGATTCTCTCCCAGATGTGAACTGCATAGCCTTGCATTATCGATTATTATTCCGTCACCGCCTCATCAATGCCAGTTAAAATATGAATAATAGAAAGATCTTATCCACACAGTGTTTTATCAAGTAGACTTTTGAAAACCGTGTGAAAGTGGTCTGCAAGCAGTGATTCCGATAGTGATCCCATGACCACACCGGCAATCTGTCGGGACCACCGCTCAATTACTTGGAGCTATCTATTTAAAATGCATTTCAGTTAACATCCACGAAGACTTTTCAGTGGTACACCAACAGTTGGGATATAATCGCAAAGTAAATGGTAATTTCCACTAATTATACGTTCCTGACGTCACATCGAATGAAACTATTGTTCACTAGCTGACTGATTTCAAGTAGAGAGTTCGCTCTACCTACAACATCCTATTTGTTGGCTGACTGACGATAAAAATGGGTAGAATATTTACTCCTTGAGACAGAATAAAAAATATGTTGACCTGATCATCAATATACAACAAAGCGAATTCTATACGCATGCAATCTGCTGAAGTTTCTTCACAGTTACCTACAAATCATCATTTGTTTGCAACTGGTTTCAGTCAAAGATACCAATAGAGCAGAGGCAACTCAAATTCTGTTCAGTGACAAGTTGATTTGTTGTCCGCTTCGAGACTGCACAAATCATGGCAACCATCAATGAAACCGGATACTCCGGAAGCATCAGTCCCCTTGAGAAGAGTGACGAACTACTGAGAGAAAAAGAAAACACTTTAAGTTGAAATCACCAACAAGAGGAGACATATGGTTGACATCGGCATTTTTGGTCGCGCTGCGCAACGACTTTTGTTTGTTCTAGAAATCCATATCATCCGGTCAAATGGTGGCTAGAGTAGTCGGTGTTTCCATTCGCTAAAAGATCAATCGATTTTCCCTCAATATGCGAATAAAACTGGTAGACAAAATCCTTGTAATGTTCATACGACAGATGGTAGTTTTTCAGCGATGAAGCAGTAGACATTTAAACTAGTCTGCAAGATTACTATGATCCTTTTTGAAATATTTCCGTCCCGAAGTTAAACTGAGTTTTCAGTAACCTTGTGAGTAGCTTATTTCATAAAAATAAACTGAGTCGTGTTTTCTCGTTTAAGAAGGGAATGCAGCTGCATACGCGTTTGCAACTTACATCTATGCTAACGTGGGACTACACGTTATTCAATTGAGTGTCCTTCTCGAAGGCTTCCTGGTCTTCCAAACGGTAGGATATTCAAGTAGTACAAGGCATTACAGCGCGTTTCTCTATAACAAAACAGTGTTAATCAGATTACTGAAGACTCTCCGATAAACCACTACTGGTTTTCCTTTTCTTGGGGCTCATCAAGTAAGCGTAGTCCCTGATGTTCCGTCAACCCCAGGTTCTAATTAAACACCAACTTATACGCCACTGTTATGTCATGTCTGTGAACGACACAGCTCTACCTCGAACATCGTGCCAAAGGAACGTATAGTGGGCTTTGCGCAACACATTTGGTTGGAGAATACCATAAGCCAGAACCACATTTGGGCCCTTGGTTAACGCACACTTACTTTGCAAATAAGTGTACCCTATCAGTGGCGTGCAACATTTCAGAAGGTTTTGCCCCGTGACGTTTGGATTTCGTTATATTGCCTCAGGAGCATTCTGAATTGCTGTCAGTCTACTCTATTTTGATTAACCTCAGCTTCGCAGTCACATCATTCCAAGGAATTAAATTTTGGCCACTAGATGTGCTGAACTCAAGAGTGATGTTTGCGAGATTAAAAATACTTGCCAACTGTCAAAATGGAATCAGTATTGCCTAATTACGCGGCTTTTGTAAAGCGATGACCTTTCTCAGAAGTCGTGTTTGCCAAAATCCTTCTTTTACTTTAGGCCCAAGGAAAGATCACCATTTAGTACTTTAACAGTGACGTTCACTACGATTAGTGCATGCGGTTCGTAGAGGTGATTTCCTTGAAATGAAGAGGTGGTCCAAACAAGGATCCCTGTAAGTAATCCTCTTTGTCAGAGGCAAGTGGATTTTCCTCAAAAATGAGTTAACAATTCACGAATGCTTTGCCAACGATATTTAAATATTGCCCAAAAACTAGTGGGATATTTCGACTGGTTATTCACAAACTTCTCCAATATTTTGTTTTGCCTCAATGAGTTATCTATCCAGCCGTTTACATTTCATATTTACATATTGTTCATACAAGCTTTGAAACCGCCAGTGCGGCGAAAGCACCTTAGGTGTTAGAACCTTTTCTGCAGTTCTGGAAGGAAACCCTTCGAGTGGACACAAAACTCTGGGAGACGGTTTTCATAACAACCATATTTAGAGTACACGAGCTATTCCGAACTTCACGCGGTATTCCAGTGGGAAATGAAACTGGTGAAATATCAAGAGCTACGCTTACTTGATGATATACAAGGGGACCGCTAAAGAGTTTTCACCAATCTTGGAAGTAGCATTGGATCGAGACTAATATGAAACGCCTTTTTGTTTTCAAGATAAAATAGTCACTACCAAACAGGAGGCGGGCCAATAGCAAAACTCTGTTATTGGCTTGCCATTTTCATCAGCCTTCAACTAAATACGTTCAGTGGCACCAGCCTAACTCACCAATATAAATAGATCTCAACAAAAGTAAAAAACAAATCTCTTTTGAATCCAATAACTAGTATTAATAGGCACTTGTAAAGCATGTACTCTGTATGCAGTTGTTTATTTCGTGTTTTTGGCCAACCAGTATATAACTCTCTCGTTTCAAACAGGTTCGAAAGATATTCGCACACTGCAACCATATAAGGAGCAAAGTTAAATCGCCCATAAATAGATTCAACAAAAGTAAAAAACAAATCTCTTTTGAATCCAATAACTAGTATTAATAGGCACTTGTAAAGCATGTACTCTGTATGCAGTTGTTTATTTCGTGTTTTTGGCCAACCAGTATATAACTCTCTCGTTTCAAACAGGTTCGAAAGATATTCGCACACTGCAACCATATAAGGAGCAAAGTTAAATCGCCCGTCATTCTGATGCAGCTTATGTACCTGAAGTACTCGTATCCGAGTTAGATTGGCCCATCAATGATAGTCACATAGAACTGGAGAGCTACGGGGAGTTAGCTACTAGCCGAATTTAGTGCTAAGGCCAACCCAGTGTGGACTGCAAACGATAAAAGCAATAGTCGAACATCTATCAAGCTTTCAACCGGCTTAAGCATGAGAGTGTTCCATAGCATGGTTTATTTACTTCGGCCAAACGAAGGAACCCATTTGCTGACGAAAATGAACTCGGTCAGCATTAGGAGAATCCAAATTAGTTTCACATTCAACATCACTTTCAACAGAAATCATCAGCTTGATGATACACTTTGGTGTCGACAGCTTCTTGTCTACAAGAACTTCTTCATTATTGCAAACCGTCGTTCACTTTTGCCAGCCCTTATATGAGGTTTTACATGAGTAATGAACTTCCGGCCAAATTTCGTCACTATAGTCCTAGCTGAGCACAAATATCCGCAGGCGATCTTATTGCCTTCACAATAGGTTGAGATTAATCGACTTAATTAAACGGACGCTTTGCGTCACGGATTATCTTAAGCCAATGTGTACGTTCTTGTCCGCTTATTCACACACTGTGGACCATACATTCCAAATTTCGATGTTCGTTATTTCAACCAATGCCGGTTTAGCCGGTTAAGCAAATTTAATTTGCAAAACCTAATTAGCTTGGATAGGGGTTCGTTCTTCAGCTTTGAAGAGCGTATTCTCAACGTTCAGGATTACGAGTTGAATCACATACGATGTATACTTTTGACCACTTGAATACACAGAGAAGGAAGGGGAGTAGATGCTGACTTCATCCAAAGTGGGCTAAGACTTTAGGATCCCGTAACATTGGTCGTAGCAAACTATATACTTGAGATATATACAGTTAACAATATGCGACAGTGCGTGTGCCTCAGTAACATATTTAGTTCCAAAACATTTTTGGAATGAGGGCTTAGTTGTTTGGCTAGATGGTTTTCTAGCAGCATCTTGATTGCTTTAGCAGACAGTTCATAGACTGCAAATTGTTCACTCCAGCTAAACCACCACTGGAGAAATTACAGCAGTGTGCCCTGACGAGAAGAATTCAGCGAGGTTTTATTTTGAATTTCCCTCCAGGCATTATATAGTGCTTAGGGTGGGGAAATGTAGACTGAAACAACATCTGATATATGGTCGTCGGGTGAACATGAGAAACGCTGAGTCCGTGAACTTCTTCACCAGTCAGTAGCTTATGATAATGATAGTGGAGCTTACCAGTGGTCGGATTTTAAAACACCTTACTTATCTGGGAAGATTATGGGCACATCAACCCTCCAGCTTTGTCTAGTCCCGACGCTCAACTGAATGTCACGGTCTCCAAGATGACGGTGACAACTGGGCTGTTGCTTTGAGAATAGGGTCTCATATGCATTTTGTGCACTGATAACTCGCGGTTCCTCTTTTTTTGTGAAAACTTATGGAACTTACAGCCATCTTGCATTCAGAGGGTCAATTTTAACCTGCTTACGGCGTGCGGATAAAGCATGCTTTCCCTGTTGCCGTGTGCTCGCTCGCTTAATTGGGAATATGTCCTCGGTTTACACCTTGATTTTGCCAGCCTCATTGTTCGTAGTAAACAACCTTTTTCTTAATGGTTTGTACCTGGTCTCTTTGTTTTGTTCTAATTCCCATTCGAAAGACTATCGGGTAGGGTGCCTTTTCTGTAGATGTATGTGGCGAGTTTCTGCTAGCAGTTAGGGAAATCAGCAAAACGGACTCCCTCAAAACGTTATAGAGCGGATAGAATTTCTAGAATACGTTTGACACGCTGGGCCACAGCGTCAGGTGGTTTACACCACCCAACGCTTCACCCGCTTCCTGGTACATCCGGAAGAATTCGGAACAAGTAGTATGAGCACTGATGAATGATCCACAATGCTAATTCAGTACAGCTAGAACTTTTGTCACTGACGCTTACTCCGAAGATCAGTAGCATCATGTGACTTTTAAAGACTTGCTCTAATCGTGGATGTAGAACTTCTAAGTTTTAGCATGATAATTTTATACCAGAACTAAGTAGCCGCAAAATATCCACGCATCCTGTAGAAGTGGTTGCTAAGAAGCACCACACTTCAGTTGCTCAATAAGATCAGCACGGAATTGGCCAAGATACTGTAGTGTTGCACAGGTTCTTTGTACATGTGGCTTTCAGAAAAGAAGATGCTTTGCGAAACCAGCGTTGACATTCAGTGGAGACTAGCAAGTATAATTTGCAAACACGTGAGCCAATCCGTAGTCTTGATCGATGGCAGTGAACGCTGCACAAGACCAGACCCCAAAGCACGTGATCCACTGGAAGAAATGTCAAAAAACGGGAAAAATCATCTTACACGATATCCAAAAAACGTTGCGACTGAATACAACAGAGTAGGTTGAATCTATGAACGACGCACGCAACCGGTAAGAATCTCAGACAATAAAGTTAATGTGCCTTTGGCAGTATCGTGTTGAACCTCTTCTGTAAAACCCCAAGTACGACAATCGCCTCCACAACACACTTTTCAGAGTGATAACCACTTCCTAAATATCATGACATTACACAAGATGAACATGGGCATGAACGATGGCTTGATGTTTATACAATCACCAACTGTCCTACATACACACAGCTGGGTTTTCGAAAAAGTTTGGTAACAATCGGTCGATTTATTGCCGGACAATGTTTCACTTTGGACAAAAACTTCGTCAGGCCGTCACTAGGTTACACGGTTGGTCAAGATTTAAGGTGAAAGGAGAATCAATCGGACAAGTCAAGCTAATTCTCCGTTAGGTGTTGGTCAAGGGATTTCACGTGTTAAGGTGGGTGACAAAGTGTTAAGCCTACATGGATATGGGTCCATGCTTGTGTCTAGTTCTTCTCGTTCGGTTCACGTAATGATCCCTCTTGAACATCACTGGCACTATCATGTGGATAAGCTTGCGCTACGATAGTTGTGTAAAAGGGATTCTGCGAACTTTGGTCAGGTTGGGATTTTCACCGTTCCCCCACCCCCCAACTTATTTTTGCTAATGATTCTACGTGAATTGACAACCACATACAGTCACGTGTCAACTCGGCTTGTCTAAGAACGCTTTCCGTACGTCTGCCAGGTCCACACCCTCGATTCTGTTCACGCTGTGAAACTTGGTGATTTCCAACGCCTCGGTTATCAGCCGCTGTGGTGTTAATTGCAGTCCCCATCTTAAAACTCCTACATTCTCCAGATTTATTCTATACCCCGTGTCTAAGGCATGTACCTCCACCGCTGAGTCTTTGACCAGCGTTTGGTATTGTTCCACATTCCTTGGTGGTTTGTTTACCTTCATTTCATGACCACAAATTCTGGTGTGCAATTTTTTTGCATTTAGTCCTATGTGAACCATAGTGCGATCGTTGCAGTTAATAAGATACAACATAATCCCAAATCCCTTCCAGCAAGAAAAGAATCTTTCAGATGCACGAAAGCTGGGCGTAGCCTTTTCGCCTTCTGGAAAGCTACTCAAATATTGGCTACTTTCAGCAGTCTTCTAATAACCTCCGATGTTCCTGCTTTATGTGGAATGACTACTGTCCCAATCCATTCCTTACTGGGTCTACATACCGGAGCCTACGTCCTTCTTATTTGACGCGTAATCAAACTCACTGAGTATCTTGTTTCTTTCTGTCGGTAATCTCGATTTGAGCTGCCCTTCGGTCGGCCTATTCTGTGTACAGCGCTCTGACTGGACGAAACATTGCTGAGACATTAATGGTGTGCACGAACTTTGGGTGTGCTGATGAGCAATTTAATACTATTCTATATTTTGCCCCCGCGATTCAGTTACCTAGTCAATATTCGTTCTTTGTCTAATTAAACGTGATCCGCTCTGTCGAGTGATTGTGACGCTTTGCGGTTTCTCCACCTAAGTTGCATGATTGAAGAGCACAAGTAAAGTGCTACAAAATAAGAACGTCTGCTGTGGTTTCCCTGAATAGAAATTTCCGCAAAAACTGGTTCCCCATTGTGTGTAAAACAAGACGATTTGATCCATTTGAGTAGGCTGGCGATTTATTGCCGGACAATGTTTCACTTTGGACAAAAACTTCGTCAGGCCGTCACTAGGTTACACGGTTGGTCAAGATTTAAGGTGAAAGGAGAATCAATCGGACAAGTCAAGCTAATTCTCCGTTAGGTGTTGGTCAAGGGATTTCACGTGTTAAGGTGGGTGACAAAGTGTTAAGCCTACATGGATATGGGTCCATGCTTGTGTCTAGTTCTTCTCGTTCGGTTCACGTAATGATCCCTCTTGAACATCACTGGCACTATCATGTGGATAAGCTTGCGCTACGATAGTTGTGTAAAAGGGATTCTGCGAACTTTGGTCAGGTTGGGATTTTCACCGTTCCCCCACCCCCCAACTTATTTTTGCTAATGATTCTACGTGAATTGACAACCACATACAGTCACGTGTCAACTCGGCTTGTCTAAGAACGCTTTCCGTACGTCTGCCAGGTCCACACCCTCGATTCTGTTCACGCTGTGAAACTTGGTGATTTCCAACGCCTCGGTTATCAGCCGCTGTGGTGTTAATTGCAGTCCCCATCTTAAAACTCCTACATTCTCCAGATTTATTCTATACCCCGTGTCTAAGGCATGTACCTCCACCGCTGAGTCTTTGACCAGCGTTTGGTATTGTTCCACATTCCTTGGTGGTTTGTTTACCTTCATTTCATGACCACAAATTCTGGTGTGCAATTTTTTTGCATTTAGTCCTATGTGAACCATAGTGCGATCGTTGCAGTTAATAAGATACAACATAATCCCAAATCCCTTCCAGCAAGAAAAGAATCTTTCAGATGCACGAAAGCTGGGCGTAGCCTTTTCGCCTTCTGGAAAGCTACTCAAATATTGGCTACTTTCAGCAGTCTTCTAATAACCTCCGATGTTCCTGCTTTATGTGGAATGACTACTGTCCCAATCCATTCCTTACTGGGTCTACATACCGGAGCCTACGTCCTTCTTATTTGACGCGTAATCAAACTCACTGAGTATCTTGTTTCTTTCTGTCGGTAATCTCGATTTGAGCTGCCCTTCGGTCGGCCTATTCTGTGTACAGCGCTCTGACTGGACGAAACATTGCTGAGACATTAATGGTGTGCACGAACTTTGGGTGTGCTGATGAGCAATTTAATACTATTCTATATTTTGCCCCCGCGATTCAGTTACCTAGTCAATATTCGTTCTTTGTCTAATTAAACGTGATCCGCTCTGTCGAGTGATTGTGACGCTTTGCGGTTTCTCCACCTAAGTTGCATGATTGAAGAGCACAAGTAAAGTGCTACAAAATAAGAACGTCTGCTGTGGTTTCCCTGAATAGAAATTTCCGCAAAAACTGGTTCCCCATTGTGTGTAAAACAAGACGATTTGATCCATTTGAGTAGGCTGGGAACACATGCCTTCTTGCCATCTTAACCAAACATTTTCTCCACTCTTACTGAGATTATGCCAAAGAGTGAATGAGAACTATGTTTCTTAGGGAACCGAAAACACGATGTGATTTCAGACTTGTGTTGCGGTTCAGAAAATTCATAGGTGGGACGCGTGAATATAAACTGATCAACCGCACGACAGTCGACATCACTTGGTAGTTACCGCCGCACGTCAATAGCGGGTATCCCATGCATCAAAAATATTGTCTCCCGTAGGAAACTTTATCGGACTTTAACTGTTTGATCACTCTTTTCGTTTTCGTAGAAATCACTTTTGCACTAATTTTATTCTCCCATTTTAGAGCCATATGACTACCAGTCATGGTGTATGATTCTCATCTTCAGCGTACACGCCAGTGGTGCTGCCCTATTCATCTTTGAGTGGTTGAGTCCGAATGGACTGAATCGTGGACAAATGTCAACATCGGGTAGGAATTCTAACCGCTTCTTTGGTTTATGAAGGTCACTATTTTCAACATCATTGTCTATTTGATGGTTGTGTTCTCAACGGGTGCTAGAAAAATAAATTTCAGCCCCGGAATTCCTCACTCATTAGTCGCCCATTAGTCTGCACAGGGCGAGGGTGTGCAAGCACTCTTGTAGTCCGATTTATTCTAGGTTAGTATAAAAACCCCTCAGCAAAGACCAGATAATTAAGTTTATGTTAGGGTATATCCTCGGCGTTCAAGCTTCTGGGGTGGTGATAGTCTGGCGAATGAAGCCAGTGCACGAGTCATCCCGGCTATCCGTGGCATCAGAATGGCAAGATGGTGTGAGCCTCTTCGCATCACAACATCTGGAAACCAAAGTATTTGTTCAGTGACGTCAACATAGTGCCAATCAGGTGGTTAAATAACCGCCGTTTATTGACGTTGCTGACATTATAGCAGAGCAGCTGAACCGACTTACATGGTATTCTTGTTTGTCAGTCATCTGCATATGGCTTTCTCTCTAAAATTACACAATAAACGAAGAATAGAGTAGACACTCATGATAGTTATTAGGAAAAGATGTTGAGCATCTGTCAGCCGGCACATTTTGACGGGATCCATTTGCACCAATCTGAATAGTGTCTTCATCCAGATTTCCTAACTAGGTGGTTTTATGGCTTTATGATTTCCAATTTAATTCGACATCAGTAGGTTTCTTTTTCCCATCCGTTGTTCTTCCTCTAAACCAAGATGTTGGCCGCGACCAGACCTACTTCTTCTCACATATCACGAAGAAGGTGACGGATAAGTTACAATCCGTTACAAATTCTGTTGATAGCAAACAACTAGGAAGAAACGTGATTGACTGACGATGAAACATAACGCCAAAGTCTCAGATGCCCCCTCTCGCATTACCTGGTTGAAATAGTTTCGAGCGTTTCTAATTTTCAGCAGCATATATGTACGAGTACCGCTGGGCGACTTCACTCATCCAAGAAGTTAACGCTTAGTGAGAGTATATGGCAATCTCGCAGTTACTGAAAAAAGTCTTCAAAATGCATATGGCTGACCGATGAATGAATTGTCCTGCTGAATTCAAAGGGGATCGCTAGAGGTCTACTTAATTCCTCGGGCTTGTGTGACTTTCCGAAATTCCAAAGATCTGCGCTTGTCAACTCAGATAACTGTCTTTCTTTAGGTAATGTGAAACCTCAGTCAGAATTTGTGCATTCGTGTAAGTTGAACAGATCGCACTTCCAAGTACACTTGTTTACCAGATGGGAGTGTCTTACCGTGACAGCGTTTCGGAGATCTGCGTATATGATCAGGACACAGATAGTCAAACCGGCAAAGCCCTAAAAAGAACAACCCGGACATAACAGAGTTATCTGTGGCACACTAACTGAGAAGTATTTAGACAGATGATGAATCATATAACACGCTAGTCAATGAACGTTACTTAGGATAGTTCTCTGTATATATGCGTTTATGTGTGTCATTAAGAAGTACTGGTCTGGATTTTTCTGTAAGAGAAGATTGCGTAGCATATGTTACCTTGACTGTTGGCTTCTTCAATTAACTGGAAAATTTGATTTCAAAAACTTTTCATCGCCACTCCAGTGCTCTGTGAGGGAGCGCGGTGGAGCTTAGCGATGAGTCGGTGGTTGTGTTGAGTAGTAATGCGCGGGTGTTGCTAGCTGAAACCTAACCTTCGATCAAGATCGACTGTCCCGTCGGAGGATTCCACCTGTTCTCATGTTCTGCGTCCTGATTGGTCAACGACTTCGTGATCTGAGAGCCTGGTTTGACCAGTTCGAGTCCTCGGGTCGGTGCTGGGGTGGGGCAGTGGTGATGTCACCCCCTATTGATGATAAAACGATTGCAATCAAATTTCCAAGCCCATTGATCAAACCAGCCGTCATCTAGGCTACTAATGCCGAACACATCTCCTAGTTCCATCGCTGAGAAAACACTACTTGTGAGATTATTCGTGTCCTTTTATGTTTCCTACTGATCGGCTGAGGTTGAGAACCTTGAAGCAATCTGTAGTATCGCATTCGACGTCAGACCGACTGTGTCGTTCATTAATCTTATTGATAAAACTTGGTGACCAGTTGTAAACATCTGCAAATTTAACAATTCTGCGCTGCTTTGTTGTCGATCCGTTCATCGAGCTCGACGGGTGGATTGCAGACATCTCACCCCCAACGATATTATGTTATCAGGACATCATCTGTGCCGCCATCTTCCTGCTTAGTGATCAGACGTTTGCAATTCAACTGCCAAACTTGACAATCAGACCAACAACTAATCTTGCCAACTTGCCAATGATCATACCGTACAGTGTTCTACCTATTTTACCACGTGTTCACTAGTTGTACCGGTGCCTGGACAAACCACTGACCAATCCACCCTGGTGCCTTGTTCGCTATCCGCAGAACATAGATTCACTCTGTTCCGCTCCTTATGGCTCATATGGTCAATGCTGTTTGGGGCCGCGGTCAATGCTGACAACCCTCGCGGTGTGGCTAGCCGATTCCTTGCAAACATCTGGGCTCTGTTTGCCCTGGTGTTCCTTGCATCCTACACGGCCAATCTAGCTGCATTCATGATTGCAAAAGAAGACTTTTACGACCTCTCTGGCATGAATGATTGGCGGGTAATCTATCTTTTGAATTGTCCATGCATTTTACACTACCCAATACTTACATATATATATATATATATATATATATATAAACG